GAAATTGAGTGCAATTTCCTTATCTAACGACACTGTCCACAGAAGAATAGATGACATGTCTGCTGATATTCTTGATCAGGTAATCCAGGAAATTAAATCTGCTCCACTTCCAATATTTAGTATCCAGCTTGATGAATCTACAGACGTTGCAAACTGTTCAGTTACTGATTTACGTGAGGCATATTAATAATGGCGACTTTAAAGATGAATTTCTTTTTTGCAAACCTCTTGAAACGACAACTACTGCACGTGATGTATTTAACACAGTTGGTTCATTTCTGAAAGAGCATAAGATCTCTTGGGAAAAGGTTTGTGGTGTTTGCACAGATGGTGCTCCAGCTATGCTAGGATGTCGATCTGGATTTCAACGTTTGGTATGGAATGAGTCACCAAAAGTCATCACTATATGATTCATCGGCAAATATTAGCAATAAAGACGCTGCCACAAGTTACAAGAAGTAATGAAAAGCGTCATAAGTTGTGTCAATTTTGTAAAGGCGAGCACTTTAAACGGTCTACTGTTTTTGCAACTGTGCAACAAGTTGGATGCGCCGAACAATGCTCTGCTATTTCACACTGAAGTGAGATGGTTGTTGAGAGGAAAAACTTTAAAACGTGTTTTTGAGCTTCGTGATGAACTCAAATGTTTTTAAATCAGAAAGCAAGACCACAGTTCGAAGCATTTTTCAGCAATAAAAGTAAACTGCAGAAAATAGCTTACTTGGTTGACATCTTTGCCATCTTGAATGAGTTAAATTTATCACTGCAAGGACCAAATGCAACATGCCTCGATTTGTCTGAAAAGATCCTATCATTCCAAATGAAACTTCAGCTTTGGCAAAAAAAAAAAATGGATGAAAATAAAATTTACATGTTGCCTACCTTATCTGCTTTCTTTGAGGAACATGACATTGAACCAGACAAAAGGATTACGATAATTTTTGTGAAAGAACACTTGCACATACTTGCAGACGAAATTTCATCGTACTTTCCAAATCTGCCTGAAACCCCATTTGGACTTGCCAGAAGCCCATTCACAAAGTTGAAGATGTTCCCGAGACATCATAAGAGGAGTTCATTGAACTTATTAACAACAATGCAGTGAGAACTGATTTCTCTATAATGCCAGTTACAAAATTCTGGATCAAGTGTTTGCAGTCATGTCCTGTTCTGTCTGAGACTGTGTTGCGCCTTCTTCTTCCAACAACATATCTTTGTGAAACAGGGTTTTCC